TTCCTTGCTGAAGTTGGCCATATGGAAATCTTAAGACCAAGAACTCTAACGTGTGCATGAGGAATGTTGTTCATGAATTTATGGAAAAAATCTAAATGTCCATCAGGGTAGAACAAATAAAAAACTCTGGTATATTTGTGCAATAAAATATTGCACAGCAGTGAGGATGAGCAAACTGTAGCTACGTGCAGGATGATGGCTAAATCTTAAATTCCTAACATTGTGTGACAGAAGTGAGTCTCAGAAGAATGCGTAGGTATGATTATAGTCATATGAAGTTTAGAAACAGCAATGACCAAAAAATAGTTAATTTATTAATACATGATAGGTGGTTAAAAAGAAAAAAAGCCTCTCCAGAAAACAAAGAGAATGATTGACACACAGTTCTTTTGCCAATAGCCAGTGGGAAGGGTGGGAAGAGATGGGAGCCAGGTGAAGACGCTTTTGATGATATTCCATCCCTGGCCTGGAAGGTGTTTTCACAGTTCATTCATTGTAATGCTTGGAAAGTGTCTACATACATTTCATTTAAATATACATTTTATGTTCACTAAATGCATGCTCTATTTAACAGCATTTTAGGGAGAACATAACCTTAACTTGAGACAAACCTGTGACGTGGTGGTATATAACAGCGGGAATTCATTTGACGTAAATGCTGGGAACATTTGCACTCATTCCATGTTAGTGACATTCCCTTCTGTTCAGGTCTACTCAGACTGCCTTGTTCTTTAGCGACTAATATTTATATTGTCACAATATTGCAAACTCTCATTATTAGTTTATAATTTTTTACTTGACCTATAGGCAAGACCAAAAATTAAATTATCAACTAAATTAATATTAAGGAGGATGACTCAATAATTACTGAACAGAATATAAACATTTTCAATCTTGGCGATATAAAAGGAAAGATACCGCTGTGAGCCAGGAGGTGGGAGGGAAGGATAGATGAGTGAGTTTCCTCATTTTACACGTTATAAAAGAAAAGATACTGTCAGAAGGTGATTAATCAACAAAAAATAAGATTAAATGTATTTAAAGTTACAGATACCCACTAGAGGTGCTAAAAGTAATAACAGAACTAATAAAAATTACAAGGGGAGGGGAGAGGGGAAAATATTAAATACCTTGCCTCTTGTCTTTCATATCGGAAGTCATTAGGCACTCTCTAAAGCTGGGACATCTAGAAATAAAAACACATCAGCTGGGTGCAGTAGCTCACACCTGTAATCCCAGCACTTTGAGAGGTCAAGAAGGGTGGATTACTTGAGACCAAGAGTTCAAGAGCAGCCTGGCCAACATGGTAAAACCCTGTCTCTACTAAAAATACAAAAATTAGGCAGCTGTGGTGGCATGCACCTGTAATCCCAGCTACTTGGGAGGCTGAGGCAGGAGAATGATTTGAGATCACCCGGGAGGCGGAGGTTGCAGTGAGCTGAGATCGTGCCACTGCACTCCAGCCTGGGCAACAGAGTGAGACTCCATCTCAAAAGAAAAAAAAATCACTTAGAGTAATGATTGAAGGGCTAATATAATTTAAAACGAAAGCAAGCAAAGTCATTCCCATTTCTTTTCTGTTCATTTTTTTTTTACCATAAACATGGATTGTTTTTAATATAACTATGTAGAAATGTTGCGGTATGGCAAAACTTTGCTCTGCAGAATTCAGTGTAACACAGGTTTGTTTTGATTTTCCTTTTCAAAAAACATATTTAGTCCCTATATGACACTATGGATGGAAAGCAAGACATTCCAGCAGTGCAGTCCATTTAAATGTTTAAAGAGTGTGAATTCCTTATTATTTATCTTTATGCTCACCAGAGCACCCAACATAGAAGTCCTCTCTACATTGAGTTAAAAAGGTAACTTATAATTTTTTTAAGTGACCTATTGGAGTCAGCAAGCTGTTTCATACCTCAGACTGTATATTCCATCTTACTGGCGTGGGTACCTTAAGCATCTTTTTCCACTGCAGCATAGGATTGTGTATTACTGACAGATCTGAACAGGAGACTCATCCTGAGCACCTAATGTATGTTAGGCACTGTGGAAGGCCCAGGCAGACAAATATGGACTGTCAAAATTGAAAGTGTGTAATACACATAAATACATAGATTTTATACATATTTTCATATATACATATGCATTTGCATATATAGTTATTTCTTGGGCTCATTTTTTCCCCTCTTCCTCTCTGTCATTATATTTCCACATGTAAAATGGCTTCACTGCACCCAAGCCAGTCTCTTATGTCCAGCTTATTAATGACCAATGAAGGCTCCCTCCCAAAGAGACCAGTGTGGTATCCATCATGAAAACAGCTGACACAAACAGGAGGACCCTGGACAGCCCTCTTTGGGTAGAGATGGGGGTGGAAAACATCTCCTGAGCACTCAACTTAAAAAAAAAAAAAAAATTCTACTTATGTTCTAGAATGTTCCAGCTTATATTCATCATTTTCCCTTGGGTCCTAACAGAGACCATATTTCCAATGCTGTATACACTTAAACATTTCAAGTTAACTTCAGAAATTGCATCACCTAAAATTTCAAGATGTTGGGGAAAATTTTGTGTTTTATTCTTTCTGAAGGATGAAAATAGTTTTAACCCCATCTCAGTCCTGACCAGCTTACTTTCCCCCCCACAGAAAGGCAAATTCATTGTCAGCACTGAAGTTGCTGAGAACACTTCCTCTCAGACTGTTCACCGTGTCCTGTTTGTCCCCACTGTATCCTTCCTATTTGCCAGAACCTATTCTGTTTGCCCTGTTGCCACAACATAAACACTGCTACAAGCAAAGATCATCAGCTGCGGCTCTGTCCCCGTCCTGAAGCCAGCCCAAGACTCGGGCAGCATTATTGGTCAAGGCAAAACATATTTCTTCAAATATCCAAACAATGCCTTCGTTTTTATTTTCAATTTCCTGTTTTCTGACATAAATTGTTTGGGAATTTTACCGTTGCCTGCTCCTTCCAAGCCTGCTGTTTTACATCCTTCATTAAGATGGGATGTGGTGACTCCTGGAGGCTACAGACCAGGGAAAGTAACCACTTCCACCAAATTCAAGGAGGTTGGGGGAAAGGATCCATATATTTGAGAAAAATATACTTCCATTTAGTTTTGTCTTATGTAATGCAGGTGTTATAACTCTGTATTTTAGAATTATGGGAGGGATTGTGGTTAGTCCATGGAAAATAAGGTTTCCGCAAAGTACTAAATTATTTTCCAGCACTGAAGCCAGTTGAACAGGCCTTACTTGCCTCCTAAATGAGCGCACCACGGACCTTGCCTGGAAGACAAAATATATAAGAATGAACTTTAAAGCAAGTTTATTAATTTGCTACTTCGGCCTTTATTCCAACATGGTTTTATATGTATTGAGGCCCTGTCTCATCCATGTTTGTTATCAAGCCAGTTAAAATAGATTTTGTGACTTTTTTATTTTTCCCCTCATCTGACCAGCTTTTAGCCCAAGTCCCTTTGGGCACTGGGTAACACAGGGTTACGGCTGAGATAGATGTACAAACTGTAGAAACTGTGTTTTCTTTTCCTCACAACTGTTTCTTCCTATAAGAAAAAGAAAAGAAAATATTAAGTTTGCTTTTGAGTTTCGTTTGGGCAGTGCCTTCAGGTTATGTTCATATGTAATTTAGGGAATCATTCCTGGGACTAAATGACCACAAGCTAACGTCGACAGCTGACAAAAGGGGTATGGCCCAGTGTGTGGGCCCAAGGACCTGAGCAGTAGACCAAGATATTCTAGACATCTCCAGGCCTGACTTGAAAGAGCATAGCAAAGCGAGTTACTACCACAGACCTATTTCCTGCAAGTCACAGCCTTCTCTGGGGTGTATTAGCTCTGCACAACCATCAGGAAACACACGAGCTGACATGCTCAGTTATGAGTGACTTCTTCCATCCACAAGTCTCAAAGAAATACAAAGAAACTCCTTAGAAAATGAGGATGCATGGTTCAAACCACCAGTTGATTAAGGATTCGGAATTACATTATGCCTACTGCAAACTACAAGAAGTGAACTGGTTCCAAGCTCCCCCCAGTACGTACAGCTCGTTAGCTCCTCAATGATCACAGCCCACAGAAGCATGTCTTTAGCCTTTCAGATGGTCAGAAAGGATTTCTGGTTTACATCTCATTCTTCTTTAAGCTAGGGACCCCAAAACCTGCAACTAGGGCTCTCCATGGGATATAAAACAGGGGGATCTTGGGACCTACAGTGCAACCTCAGTGTTCATTGTAAAAATTCTCTCCTCCTGGCTAGGTCCAGTGGTTCACACCTGTAATCCCAATACTTTGGAAGGCCAAGGCAGGCAGATCACTTGAGGTCAGGAGTTCGAGACCAGCCTGGGCAATATGGTGAAAACCCCTGTCCTCTACTAAAAATGTAAAAATTAGCTGGGTGTGGTGGCAGGAGCCTATGGCTCCAGCTACTCAGGAGGCTGAGGCAGGAAAATCACTTGAACCCGGGAGTCAGAGGTTGCAGTGAGCCGAGATTGTACCACTGCACTCCAGCCTGGGCGACAGAGCAAGACTCCATCTCAAAACAAAATTATCCACCAAGTTCTGATTCAGCCTGACCTGGTTTGGCTTGTGTTAGCAGAAGCAATCAAAGCTCAAAGTGCCTTGAATATAGAATGCCAATGGATTTATTTCCTGAAATTTTCTGTAAAGTGAAGTGGAAGGAAACAGGTTCCATCTGTAAGATATTCATCTTCTGGCAAGGTCTCCACTCCAAGCCTCTGGTTGTTTGCAAATAGCTCTTTAGTACCTACTCACAGATCTGTGCCTGGGCAATTGTATTGCAGAGAAGAAATTATTTTGCAAATTCAGTTCTCAGACAATAAAAGATGTTTTAAAAGCCTCCTGCTACACATTTTGAAAGATTGTTAATAGGAGCATGGAAACATATTTAATCTCTCTTAAATCTTAAAGACTATAAGATTCATATGTCGGTATTTTTTTCTGCTTCCTTTTTAAGAGAAAGGTGATGCAGAGCCAGAGAGTCCAGACAATGGCACATCGAATACATCGTAAGTCTCTTTCGTTTTTCTATCAGAGATGCCTGTTCTTAAATATGCCTTATAAAATGAGATGGTGTGAGTATCTTGTAATAGTATTAATGATGATGGAAGGAAGCCCATGGTTCTCTTTTCTCATGATAATGTCTCTTTAAATGCTTTGGGTGCAGATGCATTTTGAGGTCTTTTTTATGCTTTAGCAGAGTAAGAGGAATATTGAAAAATGCAAATGCTTCTCTTTATGAAGTAGAAATGTAATGAGATTTGAGCATGTATGCTGCGGGGATTTGGTTGGAGACTTTCAACACCATCTTAAGAACTGCAGAACTTTTCACACTTAAACTGGGAGGTATGCTGTTCCACGCAGCTGTGCAGTAACAAGGTCGTTTCAGAAGCTTGCCCTCTGCAACCTCACCTTGGAATTATGTGAAAAGTACAATTATAGATATCTCTGGAATCTCAAGAGTTTGTTGGTATTTTTGAATTAACAAAAGCAGTTTTAAAAAGATAAGCAAACGCCCTTATAAAACATGTGCTCCTCACTCTATGTTTTGTCTGTTTCTTCTCAATATTCAAGAAATCTAAGTATATTTTTACTGATTAATTTGATGCCAAATTGATATACCAACATTTAAATTAAAAAATTCATGAGCTAGCAAGTGACTTTATTTTAGCTCTGTAAGAGTTGGTAACAGATTTGTTCCTTAAAAATCTTTATTTGTATCACTTACGAGCAGTGACATGTGTTTTCGTATTATGACAGGCTTTGTGAATTTATCTGTATGGGGATCAGTATTCTTATTACTAAGCATTTTCTAAGTACCGTTGATTAGAAATCACTTTGTGGTAAAATATCGCGTGTCTTATTTTGTCTCAAATCTGTCTCTTAGTCTAGAAAGATTTTTTGGCTTGAATAGAAGAGCTGTATATTTCATAAGAGATATGATTATATGTTTGTCTTTCTTAAGATACTTCCCTAAATGTTCTAAATAGTTCTATTGTCCTGCTTTCGGGTGATATAATGAATGTGGCTGGTCTTAAATGGTTAAAATACTACTAATTTTTAATATTTTGTATGTCGTAAAATATAATGGGAAAGGCTTTTAATGCCATCTGGAGGCATTCTAGAGAACTGAAAAGGGTAGAATCATTGACAATTCCGTTATTTTGAATAAAACTTGAAACTGCATAAAAATTCATGCAACCAGGTTATAAGCTATTTGGAGGAAGTTGTATTTTCTGATAAATTATTTTATAAAAGTTTTAATTATTATAGAAACAATTTTTTTCAAATTCTAAATAATGAAATTATTTTAAAGATAGACAATGGAACATATGAAGTATGTTGGAAAGTGACTAGCATCCTACATTTAATTTTACATATTTTAAAATCACATTCAGTAAGTATCCATTTTGTTAAGGCAGTTTGATATGCTTTTAAAGTTCTCTTTCCCTTATGTATTTCTAAAACGTCTGTTCCTGGCTCGGCTCAGTGGCTTATGCCTGTAATCCCAACACTTTGTGAGGCCAAGGCGGGTGGATCATTTGAGTTCAGGAGTTTGAGACCAGCCTGGCCAACGTGGCAAAACCTCGTTTCTACTAAAAATATAAAAGTTAGCCAGGTGTGGTGGCACACCCTGTAATCCCAGCTACTCGGGAGGCTGAGGCACAAGAATGGCTTAAACCCAAGATCATGCCACTGTACTCCAGCCTGGGTGACAGACTGAGACGCTGTCTCAAAAAGAATAAATAGAAAAATAAAAAGTTTATTCCCTAAAAGCATTGGCTTGCTTTACTCTGTACCTTATTTCTTACAACATCTATGAAAAATAGATAAGTTATCTGAGGAATTACTTTTAAACCCTCTGGAAATATAAAAACAATAGGAGCTAGAAGCATCATCCCATATTCCTGCCTCTTTGAGCAAAGCAGTTTCTTAGTCACCTGCATCTTGAACTAGAAACAACAGGTTACAGCCATCTCTCTTAAAAGTGGAGAATTCTGAACTTGAAATTGCTCAGGAGACCTCTAAAAGAGGTTCTCTTATAATTGGGTATGAGTTGCAGTACGTTACGGATAAAGAGTGAGATTCAGGATGCCTTTGATTTGTGTAGCATTTTACATTCTTACATGCAGTGTCTATTTGAGCTTTTTTGGGTAGGTAGAGTAGAGACAATATCCCCATGTTATGGATAAGGAATCTGAGGACCAGAAGGGCCATTCCAGGCCAGGCGTGGTGGCTCACACTGGTAATCCCAGCACTCTGGGAGGCCGCCAAAGTGAATGGATCACCTGAAGTCAGGAGTTTGAAACCAACCTGGCCAACATGGCAAAAAACCATCTCTACTAAAAATACAAAAATTAGTTGGGCATAGTGGAATGTGCCTGTAAACTCAGCTACTCAGGAGGCTGAGGCAGGAGAATCACTTGAACCTGGGAGGCATAGGTTGCAGTGAGCTGAAATCATGCCACCATACTTCAGCCTGG